CTGGAAAAAAGAACACTTTTCTTTTTGAAGCCTTAACCCAGCATTTTGTAATCTACCTAGCAATAAACGAAGTCTCTGCAAATGTACGGTTCTACTTGGGGCTGTTAAACAAATATCATCATACCAACACGACACTCCTTCAATACCTACTACTAGAGATTCTATTGTGCGCTGGAAAATAGCTGGGGCATTCGCGAGACCGTACACTAAGCGTGTATATTTGAAAAGGCCTTTCGGTGTATTTATAGTTGTTAGGTCTTGAGAGGCTTGAGACAAACAAATTTGATTATAGGCATTACTTAAATCTAGCTTAGAATAATGTTCTCCGCCGCCTAACTTCGCGAAAACCTCGTCTATGTGGGGTAATGGATATTTGTCAATTTTTAAAACTTTATTTAGGGTACAGGAAAAATCTCCAGCTATTTTCACTTTACCATTCTCCTTCAGAACTGGTACTATGGGCGTAGCATAATCTGAAAACTGTACTGGTACTAATATACCTGCTTCGACAAGCCTATGTAATTCTTCTTCAACCTTGTCCTTTAGAGCAAACGGTATTTGGCGTGGCTTAAAAAATTTAGGTGTTGTATTTTCTTTCAAGTGTAAATGCACTTCATATTTATTAAAACGGCCCAATTCATCTCTCCAAATGTCAGGGAATTCATTCAAGATCTGCTGCACCTCTTGGTATTCCGCTCTAACTGATAAATTATTATTGTTACACATAGAAACTAAACTCATATTAAATTGCGTCATGAAATCCCGCCCTAATAATGGTGGACCACCTTCTGAAATTACATAAAACGACATAGGCTTCATAATACCATTGTAACTTACTTCACAATCGAAATAACCTACGGGCGTAACTTTATGCTTAGTATAAAGACAAAATACTATATCAGACTTACTTAATTTGTATAATGGGAAGTTATCCCTGTAAAATCTTTCTGAAATTACACTACGAGCAGCTCCGCAATCTAATTCCATAGAATAAAACTTATTATTTATAGAAATGTTCAACTTAATAGGATCGTAGCGAACATACCTTAAATTATACAAATCACATTTTTTACATTCGTGTCCATCGCTTTCGTTATCATCCATATTATTTAACGACAGTTTTCCGACCTTTTTGACACTGCACACTTTCTTAAGATGACCCTTTTTACCACAAATCATACACTTATAGTCTTTGAAACGGCACTTTTCTACGGAATGACCTTTCAATCCGCACACTGCACAGCGCGCGGCTGCCGCCGATGCCCACGACGACTCCGCCTGCGCCGAGGCGCCCCGCGCCCGACGCTCGCTGACACGATACACCATCTCTTGTTTGATAAGCTGCTCACCACCATCAACATCAGCTCTCGCCGCCCGCGCACACGCAGTCTCCTGGGCTATTTCAATAGCTCTCGAAAGCGTTAGGGAGTTCGAGTCTTGTTCGAACAATCGATCTCTTTCTGGACCTACCTTCAGGCCTAGAATAAATCGATCACGTAGCAACGTATCTAATTCTGTACCGAAATTACAGTGCACGGCGAGTCCCCTCAGACGTGCCGCCCAATCTTCGACTTTCTCACCGTCCATTCTGATCGCACCATAAAATTTTGCCCTGTCGGCAAAAGTCGATCTTTTCGGTTGAAAATGTCCGTTGAGTACTCTAACCAGCTCAGTCCATTGTATTGTTTCTACCTCCTTAGGATGTACGAGGTTCCTCACAAGCCGATACGAATCATCTGAAAGATGTGCAATAAGCACGGAGCACCAATCTTCAGCTAAAACTTTGTTCAACTTTAGGAAATTTTCTAATTTCTTGTAAAAGATCTGCCATTCTTGGGTTTTATAATCAAACTCAGATATGTTTCCTATAAGTTGAGCCATATTTTTTTTATATATAATATGCACTTGTGGGTAATTCGTCGCCAGTTGTTATATCGGAACTTAGGGGCAATGAAACGACCGTACGTAATAACAGCTGGTTTATTACTAATGTGAGCGGAGCGGGTCGCGATATACGAAGTACATAACAAACACTGCAGACGTACTAGTCATTTCTTAACTGATAATTTAAAAGAGAATAGGGTGGTCAAATCGAAACAACTACTGAAGCGGTACGCAAAGGGAGGTCATAGAAAAATTTTGTTTACGGATGAGAATTTTTTTACAATTGAGCAACATTTTAACAAACAAAATGACCGTATTTATGCTCAAAGCTCTAAGGAAGCTTCCCAATTAGTCGACAGAGTGTAACGTGGGCACTATCCGACTTCAGTGATGGTTTAGTGAGGTATTAGCTATGAAGGTGTGACTGAACCATACTTTTGTGAAAAAGGTATCAAAACATCGGCACAAGTGTATCAAGATAAGGTAGTGAGGCCCCTTAACAACACCATGTTCAATAATCAAGAATGGTCCTTCCAGCAAGACTCGGCGCCAGGTCATAAAGCTCGGTCTACGCAGTCTTGGTTGGAAACGAACGTTTCGGACTTTCAGAGCTGAAGACTGGCCGTCATCTAGTCCCGATCTTAATCCGCTGGATTATGATTTATGGTCAGTTTTAGAGAGTACGGCTTGCTCTAAACGCCATGATAATTTGGAGTCCCTAAAACAATCCGTACGATTGGCAGTGAAAATTTTTCTAATGGAAAGAGTGCTTGCTTCTATTGATAATTGGCCTCAACGTTTAAAGGACTGTATTGCAGCCAATGGAGATCACTTCGAATAAGCTTTTTATAGTTTAAATTGTTTTATATTTATGTATTAAACTAATACACTGTAAAAGTAATAAATGTTATTTGCAATATAATTTTTTATATTTTCAATTGTAACAGTATTTATGGCCAGACCAAGTATGTTGTTTTTCCTTTGATGTGTACCCCGTCGGACGGATTCCTTTTGTTCGTTTTAAGTTTATTTTATACAAACGTTTAGGTCTTTTATTTATCGATTGAGACACTACGAAGTCTGCCGGGTCCGCTAGTAAATAACTAAAAATGAAATGTCGAACTTAGATAAAATCATTTAAGGAAACGTGTCAGCAACATAATTGTGACACTTCAATAGATTTTAACGAAGGTATATCTTCGGTCGTGAATATCTCGATTTTAATTCGCGAAATGCGAATATAAATTGTTCAGTGAACATTCTATCCTACAGATTCGAAATTCTTCTCATAAAAATCCGGTTTCATTTTAATTCGGTCCAACGTTTGTGAGTTGGGAAAATACTTATTTTTTCGCTGTCCGCCTTCTCTTTACCGACTTCACTGTTAGTTGGCGAAATCGGACTAATGATGAGTATTAAGCTGAGATATTTTTTTCTAATATTTCCATCAGACTGCTATCTCAAATGAGGAGGGTCGCTTAATCATGCTTTTTTTTTCAAAGCAAGACAGACAAGGAAAATATGCTCGAAAATTTTAGTCGTAAAATCGGTATTTGCCGTTATTTCTACAAGATCGATAGTGAGGCGTAATTAATTAGTCTGGTATTTGTTTCCAACAGATGCTTTTGGCAGACATCTACGCTAGTTATTAGACTTAACAAGGATGAATGTGCGTTTTTTTTGGTCAGGTTGACGGGAGAAGATCACGCGGACGCTCACCTACTCGCGAGTCTGATCTGGTAAAGACGCACACCGGCTTGCCAATAACCGAGGCTATACCGCCGAGGACAGGAAGGCGTGGTGAAGCATTGTGCATCGAGTGGTCAACATTTCAAATTAGACACGACTTTCAACAATGAAGAGACCAACTCAGAAGAAGAAGAAGAAGACGATTCCGCCATCGCTGTGTCCTAGAGGTGTATTGGGTTCTGTTAACCGCGGTAACTACTACTTCTCCCAGGCTCTGTCTGGGGTGAGGATCCGAAAATTTAACGAGTGTGCAGGGAAGTCGTTTAGTGGATGGCCTCCACATCTTGGGAGTTTTGAACAGAACTCCCGATTGACCGTCGAGCTCTAAGTAGCGTGTAATCTGAAATTAGCATCTCTTGGGTATACTTAAGAGCAGAGATGGGCTATAAGATGGGCGAAGCTCTGAAATGAATTTTCCAAGGAAGGAAAAATATATATTTTAAATAAGTTCGATACTATAGATGAATGTAACCAAGTTTTTTTGGCCATATATTGGCAGTTTTTTTTCTTTTTTTCATCTTTTTCCAAAGATCTTTTACCACGTATCATCCGGCTTTGGAATGAACTCTCCTCCACGGTGTTTTCCGAGCGCTATGAAATGTCCTTCTTCAAACGAGGCTTGCGGAGAGTACTTAATGGTGGTCAGCGGCTTGGCTCTACCCTTGGCATTACTGACGTCCATGAGTGACAGTAACTACTTACCATCGGGTGGGATGTAAGCTCGTCGGCCTACAAAGGCAAAAAAGACATAGACATAACCTAAATATGACGATGCACTCTCATTGTGTTGTAACGGCCATGTTACCTTCTAAACTAGAACGCATGACTGCATTGCGGCAAAGACAACTAACAAATAGATTTAACTTTATTTAGTTGAATAAAATATGCAAACAGTGCTAAGAAGATTTTATCTTTCCCAAAATAGACACAGTCCATTATCGAAAACGTGATTAAATATTTAAAGCGCTTCTCCTAAAATTGGTTCAGTGCTGAATCAAAGTTTAGCTTAATCCGTTAAGTCAGTAAGCCTAGACATTAAATGCGATCGTAGTTAAACTTCTGAGGTAAGTTCTTATCTGTCGGGAATTTTGGAAACTTCACTCGATTAGGCTGTGTTTTAGTGAAACACTAAATTTGGGTTTCAGTATTAGTATAACTTGTATATAAACACTGTAACAAAAAAGCTATAAAAATCTGGCACATAGTTTTTTGTACCTCAAAATTACTTGAGATCTGACTTATTAGATTTCGAAAGTGCATCCAACAAGATGTTAATAATCACTAATTTCAGATTAAAATCTCTGTTCGATGTGAGCCTCTCAAAATACGCGATACTGAACCCAATCTTTAAGTAGTCAAGAATTGAGATTCTTTGCCGAAAGTTGGGGCCAAATATTTTTATATTATTTGTTGCATATTTGCCCAACTGGACAGAGTGACAATTCAGGATGGAAATTCCTGGTGCAGACAAATTAGGAGAGCTGATGCAACCTAAAGTGAGAAAAGGAAAAAAAGAGGTTTTTTTTTCTTTTTTTGTTGCTTTGATGGGTGAACGAGCTCACAGCCCATCTGGTGTCGAGTGGTTACTGGAGCCCATAGACATCTACAACGTAAATGTGCCACCAACCTTGAGGTATAAGTTCTAAGGTCTCAGTATTGTTACAACGGCTCTTCAAACCGAAACGCATTACTGCTTTACGGCAGAAATAGGCAGGGTGGTGGTACCTACCCGTGCGGACTCACAAGAGGTCCTACCACCAGTAATGAAATACAAATTGACCACCTTACGGCCTATCTGTTAAGAGTGTTAGCAGAGTATATCACAACGCGAATGCCCCCACCCACCTTGAGGTCGAAGCTCCAACAATATTGTTAAGCGGCTGTCTTAGTCTTCAAAATGGAACGCATTATTAATTTCGCAACTAGAAAATCAAATAATCCAGATTTCCAGAAAAACATATCCAAGTGTCCAAACGAAATTAATTGAAACTAGTGGTAGTCGAAATTCGACTATAATTAATTGAAAATAAAAGTTTGTACACTATTATGATTCTATTTTCAACGACTATTAATACTTCTATAATCACAAATTTCGCCAAGACTACACTATAGAAAAATATTAATAAAGACAAACAGTATTTAATCTACTCTCAATTTGACCACAGACGTCCAGAACAACAGTTTGACAGTAATTAAATAGTATGCATGTGTGTGTGCGTTAAATACATGGTAGCGTGTGTAATGTTTTTTTTTTATTGATTTATTGTATTTTTTAGGCATAATTAATAAAAATATTAACATTCTGCACTCCTTCTATATATTCTCTATAAGTGTGGGAAATTTCATACTCCTCCGTCCGCGCAATTTTCGTAAAAATGGATACAAAGTTTTTCCTTCACGTATTAATATATAGAATAGTACACTGCGTACTGGAAACTGGTTTCATTAGTATTTATTATGACAACAAAGGACACCCAAACTTAAATAGTGATACGGCGCGAATTACTAATGGGGGGATTATGTAAATAACGAAACCTCTAATATTAAGGTGCAAGCGCCCCATACATTGTTTAAGTTTAATTATAATCATAAATATTCATGGGATCACTCATGGGACCGTAAACAGGGCTAAGCTTCGAATCAATTTTGGCCCGAACAAGAGGTTTTATAGAAAATCTATTGCGGCCATTATAATAGCCGTTGGTTGGATAATTAAATATTAACGAAATGCTAAAGACAAGTAGAACGTAATTTACGTGAAAAAAATTCACTTTCGTTATTTATTTTGAAACATCAATTATTTAATCAATCATTATTTTTATTTTATTCTTCATCATTCAATTATCAATTATTATCAATTTTCTTAGCGGTAAGCAGCGGTTTGGATCGGTAGGCAGCAGCTTGCAGCGGTAAGCAGCGGCTTGGAGCGGTAGACAGCGGCTTGGAGCGGTAGGCAACGGCTTGGAGCGGTAGACAGCGGCTTGGAGTGGAAGACAGCGGCTTGGAGCGGTAGACAGCGGCTTGGAGCGGAAGGCAGCGGCTTGCAGTGGTAGGCAGTGGCTTGGAGCGGTAGGCAGCCGCTGGTAGGTCGTATGCTCGTCTGCCTACAAGGACAATAAAAAATATAAATTAAATTAAACGTTACGGAAATTTTCAATTTGAAAACGAGACTACTGATCTCCTAGAAAAAAATAATTCCCCTATCACATTTTGTCAATACACAAAATGATGGAAGCTATTAAACGAAAACCGCACGAATAATGCCATTATAAAATAATTAATTCAACAAGCATCATTATTTTCGGCTGTACGTTTTATCTCTGCTAATTTATCGTCGAGTCAAATTAAGTTTCGCCCAATGACACGAGGACTAGACTAAAAGAACGGGTGAGAATTATT